GTATAGTTATTATATGGTCGAAAAAATCGGACAATCTGTCAAACACGATACTATTACGCTTGCTTGACACTTTATTTAAAGTAGGCCTGACCATTCTTTTTCCGAATATGATTTCTTTTTTAGTTGTCAACGTTTTAAGTGCTCAGAGAGCATTAATTCAGACACCACCTGTACCGGCACTATTCTGTTCTTCAAGGTCCGCCATTGACCCTATTCGGTTTATAAGTAATGCTTGAAGGAAAATCAGATTGTTTAGCTGTGGGAAAAAACTAAATCTGCCAGTGATGTGTAGGCGAGAGATCGACAGATATAAACATGTAGACTCTCTGTTGAATGGCCGGTAATCTAAGTGATACGGGAGTGAAATTGAAAGTTTTGACAGTGTGCACACCAATACGCCAAGCTGTCACTCTCATTCTTGGAAATTACCTGCCGTATAAAACTCAGACCTATAAATATTTAAAATCCTATACACAACTTATAAAAATGGATTAGCTTGTCAATAAATGTTCCAGTTTCAGCACTCTACTTTCTGCCCAGGCTAATGGAACGAAGGGGACCCTTCGTCTTTAATATTGTAAAGGAAACAACATGAAAGAATGATTCCTTAATTGACGTAGATATGAGGCGCCAAGGCCTTCTTCGACGGTGAGAGAAATACTTTTATTTAATGAATTAATTTCGATGGTATAGTTTGAAGCACATTTGAAATAAAAAACGGCGTCAAACAAGGATGCGTAGGTCTACAACGCATATTTTATTTTTAATTATTTCCTCTTCCCTACCAATCGAATTTACATTAGTAGACAAACGTTTACAAGGTATCCAGTACTGATAATGTCATTTCGCAATATCGATTCTTAATAAATCTATCATCGGAAATTAAAAAAAAAAATATTTGAGCCATTCAATAAAAGTGCTTACTAGAAAGCAATGACAATTATGACAAATTACTGTCTGTGTAGGCCTATATTAAAATTTAAATAAAGTTTTATGAAAACTAACTTCGGGAATGTCAGCCCATTCAAAATCAAAATCAAACCACTCGATGGCTTTTTCTACAGGTGTCTTGGGAAACCATCCTCCCAAACGAAGAGCTGCTCGTTGGGAAATGTCAGGTTTATTTTCCTTGATTAAAATCTCAGCCTTTTCTGTCATATACTCAATCGCCTCTTCTAACCTTTCCCAAATTGGATCCGTTAAAATAGTAACGTCATTTCCAGTCTGGTTAAAGACCAACAGAGACTCGAAATCAGAAACATGATGTTTGATTCCAAGGTCCAGAACCTCTGCAACAATACTGGTATCTCCTGGTTGAGCCCAGTTTGCGCCCAGTTCTACAACTTGCCCAGCAAAAGGGACATCAGTTATTCGCCCGCCAATGTGGTCATCGCCTTCAATGATAATAAAATCATCCATTCCTTGGTTATGGAAAACTTCAGCGGCTGTTAAACCCGCTGCACCAGCACCGAGGATAAGTACTTTTGCATCGTTCTCGGACCTAACCAAATAAAATGTCAGGAGGAGCGATAGAGCCCGAAAGAACATAGTGATCAGCAGTATATCCTTTCACTACTATACTAAACTGTATACTGTGGCCTGTAGCCCATGTGCACTTGTCTATGCGTAATAACGTTCTGCCTGACCACCTTTGCCATTCGCTTCAATGTTTCGAGATAAAACACATGCAAATCATACTACTGTAATACTAAACAGTATACTGTACGGTCTGTACCTCATGTGCACTTGTCTATGCGTAAATTAGTTGCCTGACATCTATATAAGCCATCCTCTTCAATGATTCGAGCTAAAACACATGCAAATCATAAACTGTACATCGGTGACCTCGAGCCATGAGAACGTGCTGAAGATAGAGGTGTGGTTAAAAAGGGAAACTATTGCGCAATAATTGAAACCGGCAATGATCTTCTTTTGTTGCCTGTGTGGTCGTTTCCTTAAAAAGTACCGTGCATTCGCTGATTTGTTAAAATGTGTAATTTCTAGAATTTCCGTCTTTCAAAGATACATTATCTTGGAATTCCGCGTTCCAAGATAAATTATCTTGGAACTTAAATTCCTTTCCAAGATAGTTTATCTTGGAAACACGTCTTAGAATTCCGTCTTTCTGATAAAAATTATCTAGGAATTCCGTCTTTGCAAAAATTGACCTTGAAAAGACTTTTTTTTCAAGATAAATTTATTAATAATAAACTCGAAAGATCATTTTAAGCTTCTGTAGACTCCTCTTCTGTAACGTTCCAATTACTATAATAGGCCTATCTTCTGTAACGTTTTCAATACTTTATATGATTAACTGTATACATAATGTTAAAAAAAAAACATTTTTTGCTATTTTTCACGTCATTTTTAATATGATTCCTGTCTCTTATACACATCTAGATGTGTATAAGAGTACAGTTCAGTAGATAATAATTCACATCCTTCCTGGGATTAGATACTACCGTACTTCCTTATGTATCCAGAGTGACATGTGTGCTGAATGCTGGTGCTAAATATTCAAGTATATATGAAACAAAACAAAACATACCGACACACAACAATACGTTCAAGCAAAAAAGAAATGAAACCAGTGACGTCGATACACAAACAAGGCAAGTGTAGTCCCCTTCTGAACGCACAACGGGAGCCCATCGTCTTTGTCTGAGCATCTGAGCATGGTTTTCAGCTATGAGAGGGTGGTCGGTTTATCCACGCGCCGATTTAACCTGCTCAGTATAATTTCAACCATGTACAGTATTCACCTGTCAATCATTGACAACCGCCCGCGCCAGGAATTGAACCTGGGTCATCATGACAGACAAGTGCCCTCCATTTCTGTTTGTAGATTATATGTGTGTATGTCACAATTCCTTTAATTCCCATACATTATAAAAGGCCTACAGGGGCCTTTAAACAAACCTGTTTTATGTTAATTTTTTTTTTTTGCGGTAGAACAAATATCTTACAAGCCTATAGACATGCATTGGTTGTAGACGCTTGATGTATTGTTATTTAGGCCAATTTTATTCTATCCTGTATGAAACACTCAATATAAACATTGAAACAAAATTCTATTAACAAAATATAGGCCTACAATAAAACAACTACAGTTTTCGGTGACCATATTGAGTCAGTGGCGGCTCTAGGATATAATTTATGTGTGGGACTAAGATGTCCGACTGAGGGGCTAAGTATTTATGGGTGTAACTTTAGCGCGCAGTGTTATCTAAGGGCCGAAGCACCGAGCCAGGGTGGGTATGGAAGGGGATGTCCCTTCCTCTTAAAACGAGATTTAAAAAAAAAATGGCCGGAAATGGCACTGTAAGACCTGACAGGCTTGGCGTAGGCAGTACAGTATTGGGATGGGCAAACTAGGCCTATTTTTTTTTTTTTTTTTTTTGTTGGTCCGACTGTCCGACGAGCTTTGGCCGATGGTGGGGGGGGGGGTGCTTGACAAACTGATGGGGGCTTAAGCGCCCCCCCCCCGCTTTCGCTGCCCCTGCATTGAGTTAGTTTACGAGGTTTTCGCCTTTTTTACAGGATTATTCTCTGTCGTTTTAAAACGTCTCCTTATTCAAAGCTGTCCGGAGAAAAAAAAAGCGTAAAATGCTGGCTTCGATTGGCGCTATAACCTCATGCATAACAAAATCTAAACACACTTTTGGTAGACAGGTAAACAAACAGAAGGTCTTTTCCCATGGTCTGAGGCGAGAGATAGTTGGCCTTGGGACTGGCTTCGCCGGCACACACTGACCAATAATAGCGTAGCGGTCCCTATCAGTCACTACTCGTGCCTTCGTGGTCAAGTGGTTATGACGTTCGCCATGTATGCGAAGGGTCCCGTGTTCGAGTTCCAGTGGTGGCTGCGTATTTATTTCTTTCCTGGTCAGAATCCTACGAAAGTTTCCGAGTTTCTAAGATAATTATTTTGGAAGTATAGAATAAAGCACTAATGAAGACGTCATTCTGATATAAACTATTTTGCAATTCCGTCTTTCAAAGATAATTATTCTCATGAATTCCGTATTTTCAAGATACGTTATATTGGAATTCCGTCTTTCCAAGATACATTTTCTTGAAATCATCTTAGAAAAACCGATTTTCGAGATAATATATCTTGATATTCCGTCTTTCCAAGAATTTACCTTAGAATTTCCGTCTTTCAAAGATACATTATCTTGGAATTCCGCGTTCCAAGATAAATTATCTTGGAACTTAAATTCCTTTCCAAGATAGTTTATCTTGGAAACACGTCTTAGAATTCCGTCTTTCTGATAAAAATTATCTAGGAATTCCGTCTTTGCAAAAATTGACCTTGAAAAGACTTTTTTTTCAAGATAAATTTATTAATAATAAACTCGAAAGATCATTTTAAGCTTCTGTAGACTCCTCTTCTGTAACGTTCCAATTACTATAATAGGCCTATCTTCTGTAACGTTTTCAATACTTTATATGATTAACTGTGTACATAATGTTAAAAAAAAACATTTTTTGCTATTTTTCACGTCATTTTTAATATGATTCTAAGGACCATCAAAATAAGTTCATAAATCATAATTTCATTTCACTCAAAACTCAAAAGTAGAGTCTGGTAGGCAATGGGAACATTCCCCTGTACAAGATGCCTACTAGAGATAAACAATGATTATAGCAATAAAAACTACAACAATAACATAATATATCGTGTTTGAAATAACCGTGTCCAACATAGTTTTTATATGAATCTGTGTTGTTGAACTTTTTGTTTACTATGAGCAACAAATTTTCTTTTCAAGTTAGTAACAAACTGACATATTATTCTTTCTTCATTCTTTATTTCAATACTGTATCAAATCGTGCGTGAACAAACAGATCAAAATGCATGTTATTTCGCCGATCGAAATATTTACAAATACATGTTACTTTTGTTGCTTGTATAGCGCTTTCCTTTCAAGTTAAGAAGCGCAGTAAGTTTTTCCCTGGTCATTGGTTCCACATGCTTAAGTGTTGCTGCCATATTGGTGCAGTAGCAGGCAACCTCACCAGATACCCATTTATGCTCCTAGAGGGAGAAGTAATGTAGGTAAAGTGCCTTGCTGACGTAAACAAGCGAAATGCACAGCGAGAGATTAAAACCCCGACCTCGAGTTTGGGAAACCAAACCGTTAACGCTTCGCCAAACGGAATTCATAAACATCAAAGCGAGAACATCAGCACTTTAAATAAAATAGAAATAGGCCTATCAATAGCAGAGATAAGTTCTTGAGAGTGGGATGGGCCATTCAATCATAAATAAATTTCCATAAAACTAAAATCTAACATATAATAATAACAATAATAATAATAATAATAATAATAATAATAATAATAATAATAATACTTGGAATTTCATTTAGTCTTTAGTTCAAAAACTTTTAATCTATATATTAAAGAACCATTTACAGTATTATAATAATAATAATAATAATAATAATAATAATAATAATAATAATAATAATAATAATGATAATTAAATAATAATAATAATAATAATAATGATAATAATAATAATGTCTCTAAGCGTCTGGCTTCTTTTTCAGTTGTTTTTTTTTTCGAGTAATAAGGGTTTTTAAAAAAACTAAAATAAAGATTTGTCTTTTATATCAAATAGTAAGTCGTATTTTTTTCAAGTGGAAAAACTACCTGTAGGGCTAGTTAGTATTATGACAAAGTCTCCAAAGTAAAATAATAAGTGGTAACGCAGTCAGGACAACAATAATTGTGGACAGAACAATCGTAACATTTCGCCATTTACTAGAGTCACAATCGCAATCTATCTTCTTCTGTTTGGTCCATATAGGGCATTCAACGTCGTCACCGGTGGCCATACAACCAAGAATTTTCATGGCCTCCCTTTCACCACTTCGTTGACCACCAATAATATACCCGTTGTATTTCTCATCAGTGTGCTCTCCTCCGAAGAATATTCGGCCGACACGAGATTGGATCTTTTGAAAGCATTCTTCTGACACTTCAACCGGCCAGTTTGAGTAAGCACCATAGGTGAAGGGGTTCATACTCCAGTCAGTTTGATGGATTTTAGTTGGTGCAGTAGCTCCGTCAAAGAGCGTACGAAGAACAGTCGTGATCTCCGCACTGGTTTCATCGTTCGACTGCTGTTCAATTCTTTTTGCTTCATTTCCCACTACAAAGGCTACAAGCATGTTGGTTCCTTTCGGGAACAATCCTGTAATTAAACTCATTAAGGTAACTAATCTAAATTAGTTCGAAAATGTGTACTAGTAGTATAATATATGTAGGCTATTTATGATGTACAGTATTATGTAAACTACAGTAATAGATAGCGCATAATAACAGTGCACAAATAGGAACATATGATGTTATAATCGTATCAAGTATACCTCCTTTTTTCTTAAAAGATGAATAGAAGTATCCGATTTTGAAAGCGAAATAAAAATATAAAGATAAGAAGGAGAACAGATTTATTGAAAACTACAGTGAATCAGCATGGAAGGCAAGGTAAATTTTTTACTACCATAAAAAGAGGTAAGTATCTAAAAATATTGTTTAAACTTTGATTATAACAACATCAACCACTGACCAATCAGAATGTGTTATTGATACAGATTGGCTTAAAAATAAAGATAAGAAGGAGAACAGATTTATTGAAAACTACAGAGAATCAGCATGGAAAGCAAGGCAAATTTTTTACTACCATAAAAAGAGGTAAGTATCTAAAAATATTGTTTAAACTTTGATTATAACAACATCAACCACTGACCAATCAGAATGTGTTATTGATACAGATTGGCTTAAAAATTAAGCAAAGAAAAAACAATCTGTAAAATATTTGACTACAGTACCATTGAAAATGTATTTAGTTAAGGATATGTCTCATAGAACCGAATTAATAAATACATAACCACCCCTAATTAATGTACTTTAGTTGTTTCTATGCCTTGTTAAAATTGTATTTATTAGCCTCCCCAAAGGAGCGAAGCTCCTTCTTCATGTTGTCGTTGTCGTTGTCACTGTCGTTGTTGGGCATTTGTTTTCTACCATGATAACTAAAGTTTGGTAAGTCCGATTAGTTTTAAAATTGGCATAATGCAAGATGTTAATGAAAATACGGAGCCTATGGTTTTTGGTACGTCCGTGAATATGGTAATTGCTCATTTCATAATTATTCTTTCCACTAATCAGGTAATTTAGGCTAATTACCATGATAACTATAGTTTGGTAAAGTTCTATTGGTTTCAAACTGGGCATAATATAAGATGGTAATAAGAAGATGGAGGATATTGTTTTTGGTACGTGTGTGAATATGCTAATTGCTCATTAATATTTCACTAATCAAGTAATTTAGGCTAGTTACCACGATAACTAAGTTTAGTCCAATTGTTTTCAAACTTGGCAGAATGGAAGATAGTAATAAGATGACAAAGAGAACCTATCAGTGTTTTTAGTAGGTTTGTGAATACAGTATGCTAATTGCTCGATTGCATACGGTAATTAATATTTTAATAATCAGGAAATTTACGCTAAATACTACTATAATTTAGGTGAAATTGTAATTTTTTTCATGTTGTCGCTGTTATAGTAAATTATTTCTTACCACGATAACTAAAGTTTGGTAAGTCTTACTGTACTTAGCAATTTTCAGGAAAAAAAACACATACCTTGGGGAGGCTATGCTTTTGCTGCGCAGCATAAAAGGCATTTCTAGTTTATTCTGTTTAATTTCATGCACAATGATATTTTCAGTTAATGATATGTTTTATTATTTTATTCATAACTTTTATGTATCTGTAATTGTGTATGGGTCGAACCTCTACTTATGGGAGTGTTCCTCTGTTATAAAGGAGTCAACCAATAAATTTTTATTGATGGCCAATAGTACTACGAGCAGTCCAACTACACATACATACCGTACGTGTACACTGATCATGTTGTCGTTGTCGTTGTCACTGTCGTTGTTGGGCATTTTTTGCTACCAAGATAACTAAAGTTTGGTAAGTCCGATTAGTTTCAAAATTGGCATAATGCAAGATGGTAATGAAAATACGGAGCCTATTGTTTTTGGTACGTCTGTGAATATGGTAATTGCCCATTTCATAATTAATATTTCCACTAATCAGGTAGTCGGAGAGAGCTAGCCCCCCCCCCCCTCAATTCGTCGGGGAGGAAAAAAATTACATGTATTTTCTACATAGGCCTATTAGTAGACTATAAAATCAATTAAGCCTTTGAAACCCCTAAATTGTCAAAATTTTCGGGGCTTCGCCCCCAGACCACTTTCAAAACGCTTTAATCGAAGCTCGACCACACCCACTTTGCTTTCGTTGGGGGAATCTGACCCCTCGCCGGGGACGTCGGCCCCCGTCGGGCAAATCCTGGCGCCACCCATGCGAGCAGTCCAACTACACATACATACCGTACATGTACACTGTCGTTTTGTCTGGTCTTAGCAACAAAATCAATGAGGAACGATGTATTACAAATAAATGCACCACAGAAAGACTATAAAAGTGAAAAGTGTTGGTTCACTAATATGAAAATGTAAACACGTGGGCTTGCTACTTGTATGTATTGATTTATTATTCAAATCACCTCTTATTTATAATCATACACCAGACATACTCAGCCTACCTTCAGCTTCCAGATTGTAGAACACAGGGAAATACCCTCGTCTCGCGTGCGCATGCACAAACCATTCCTCATCTGACCAGAATTTACTGTCAAACTTCATAAAGATTTTAGTATAATCTGCCATGATGAATTTATACAGTTCCTGAATTTTCCATTTTGGGAGTTCGGGTTGAAAGTCTACAACTTCGTTCTGCAAGACTCCGAGACTGAACGTCATCAACACGTAATCACCAGTAAAATTGGTTCCATCTTTGCACGTCACAACTACTCTGTCGCCTTCGTAATTCACGGCAGTAACGATCTTGTTCAACTGAAGACGATCTCTAGAAAATGTTTGTTTTGTTAATTACATATGAGGAGGTTAAGATGACAAGAACGCGATTATCTTATCCAACAGTTCACGTATCTCAGGCTGTTTCACAGCGGTATACCCAGTGGTAGTGGGGGTAGGAGCAGTACCCCGCCAGGGAGAAAATTGATTGAACTAATTTTTTAAATCCCTGATTGTTTCCCATGGACACCTTTTTTTTAGGGGGGGGGGGTTCTGTGTTGCGTTGGCCCGCCCACAGCTATCGCCGGCGAAATCGGCCTTCTCGTCGGAGACATCGTAATGGACAAGCAATGGGCCTGTTCTACGCGTTTGGCCAGTACCGGTAAATATATATTTATATATACAGAGATATGTTTGTCATGAGGATGTTACTTACTCAAATGCTGGGTCGTCGTAAAGGAAAGCAGTAGATTCTTTGAATATAAACTTGAACCCACGTTGATCCTTAACAAATAATATATATTCATCATCATCAGTTTCTAGGAGAGCTGTTGACTTAGTTGAGGCTGTCTCTTATACACATCTACTACACATACATACCGTACATGTACACTGTCGTTTTGTCTGGTCTTAGCAACAAAATCAATGAGGAACGATGTATTACAAATAAATGCACCACAGAAAGACTATAAAAGTGAAAAGTGTTGGTTCACTAATATGAAAATGTAAACACGTGGGCTTGCTACTTGTATGTATTGATTTATTATTCAAATCACCTCTTATTTATAATCATACACCAGACATACTCAGCCTACCTTCAGCTTCCAGATTGTAGAACACAGGGAAATACCCTCGTCTCGCGTGCGCATGCACAAACCATTCCTCATCTGACCAGAATTTACTGTCAAACTTCATAAAGATTTTAGTATGATCTGCCATGATGAATTTATACAGTTCCTGAATTTTCCATTTTGGGAGTTCGGGTTGAAAGTCTACAACTTCGTTCTGCAGGACTCCGAGACTGAACGTCATCAACACGATATATGAAAGAATTGATAAACCTCAGGAATGTCAGCCCATTCAAAATCGAAATCAAACCACTCGATGGCTTTTTCTACAGGCGTCTTGGGATACCATCCGCCCAAACGAAGAGCTGCTCGTTGGGAAATGTCAGGTTCGTCCTCTGCAATTGACATCTTTGCTTTGTCTGCCATATAATTAATAGCTGTATCCAGTTTTTCAAAAATTGGCTTCGTTGAATCAGTTACGTCATTCCCAGCCTGGTTAAAGACCAACCGAGAGGAGAAATTTGTTACATGATGTTCGATTCCAAGATCCAAAACTGTTGTGATGATTTTGGTATTTCCAGGGTGAGCCCAGCTTGCCCCGATATCTACATGCATCCCAGCAAACAGAACATCAGCCACTCGTCCGCCAGTGTGGTTTGCGCCTTCAATGATGATAAAATCATTCATTCCCTGGTCATGGAAAACTTCAGCAGCTTTTAACCCCGCTGCACCAGCACCGAGAATAAGAACTTTAGCATCATTCTCTGACTTAACGAAACAAAATGTCAGAAGAAGTAGGCCTATGGCAGCTTTTGGTAATGTTAGTGTTGTAGGCCTAGTTTGGACAACCATGGTTCTGAAGAAAATAATTGAAATAAATGGAGCATATTATGAGGAGCGTGGGGAGGTCCATTCCACAGGGGGTGTGAACCTTAAGAACATACAGTAATCATAGAACATCAGTTAATAGACCTACCATATTATTTATTCATGATCAGACCTAACAAAAGATAGGCCAAAGATCTTTCCTCCATGCTGAGATTCAGTTCAAGATTTAGGCGCGGCATATATAGTAGGCCTAATATTTAGATGCACTCCTCCACAAAAGACCGCATTAATAAATGCAGTTATACCCCGGAAATGTATTTATAACGCTAGTTATCGAATGTTCAATGAGGTTTACATAAAAACCTCTCTAGGATCTACTTCCGTGATACAACGACATTGTATTGTATTTAATTCATGTGTGTGATAGTGTATGTCAACTATTTTGTTATTCCTAGAACAGAAATTCACCAATCCGGAAAGGTGATTTCAAGCTCACTGGTGCCAAGCAATAGAACGGAAAATTTCATAGAGTTGTTTGTTTATCTGAATATGGCCATGGTAGTCTATATTATTTCTTAATAAACTTTCAAGTAATACTCAGACGACTAGTATTTTTTAGGCATATGGTGACTATTGTTACACTAGTAGTCGTCTATTGGCTATTGCTACCATTAGTTTACGCGATATGCAATTCGTTTTTGTGATTTCTATCTGCAGTAGAATACGATTCTCGATAAGAGAGACAATAGAAAGATGTAGAGAGGAGTGCTGAGTAAAGGAAGCGCAAGAAATTTAATATGTTTATGTTCATTCATGAGTCTTGATATCGTAACCACAAAATACTCGCAAGTTTCACATTTTGTTATTGATTGGTTTCCTAATTTCCATATCTTGTTTCTGTTATATATATGTA